ATCAGCAAGAACTCTAGAGGCACACAGCCATGGGTGGAGTTTTTGGTGATGCATGCAATAATTTCATACAAATTCAGAGACACCATAATCAGCGTATTGTTGTTCTGCGCGGCTGGGGCAGGCGGGCGGGCGGGGAGGATCCCATTTTTTCGGACTGCAGTTAGTTCACATAATGTGCTTTTCTGATTGTCAAATTATCAGTGTAATAATAAATTTACATATTATGTCAATAATCATCAATCCTGTGGTTTCTAACCCATATGGGTGTGTTCCGAACTCCTGCAGGTAGTTGAAAGTAGTAGGCACCACTGATGAGACTCAAAAAGCTGTCCGGAGCTCTTTGCTGACCTTCACATAAATCACGTGCTAACCCAAACATTTCCACAGATGTGAGGGGGGGGGGAGACGAACTCTTAGGGAGTGGTACCCGCACTAGGACACCCATCTACCGCGGTTTTCATTTCCGAAGAATATTTTAATCCAACTTCGAGTGACTGTCATCGACTCTGATAAACCAGTGTGCACTGATTACCTATAAGGACAAATAATTTATGAATCTAGTCATCTAAAAGTAATTGATGGCTTTTTGTATGAGTGGAATGGGATCATCATCATTCCCCATTATAAAATAACGTCATCACTGTTGAATAAGTTGTGTAAAGGATATTTTTGTACCCAAGCTTATTTTTCACGAAGAATCTTGATCACGAATCAGGCTCGTGGTAGGTTGTAGACAGAATTTCATGTGAATCCAGATGATGAGCCACCTGTTAGTTATTTCCCGCATTATACCTCTCCAACCTACAAGCAGCTAAAACATAAATTAGCACTTCAAAAGAAAGTTATAGTTTTCTTATGTCGAGATTGTGGAAAGTTCAGCAGCCTTGGTAGGATTCGAACCCAAGAATGGATGCCGCCTACACTTTTGTGTAGTGCTCACTCTACCTGCTGAGATACGAGGCTGCACTGATGGCACTAATCTTTTCATATTCGGTGGACTCCGGTGAATTTTAAGGAAAACCTGTCACGGCAGTCAGCTTACAGGCTAAATGATGGAAGCCTCTGTAAGTTGGACGAATGATTCGAATGTGAAAAGATCAGTGTTATCGGTGTGGCCTCGTAGCTCAGCTGGTAGAGCGTGCGCTGTACAAAAGAGTAGGCGGCGTCCATACGTGGGTTCAAATCCCATCGCGGCTACTGAAATTTTCACAATCTCGAAATAAAAAAGAACTTCAATCTGTCAAACAACAATTTGAACAAGTTACAGATTTCATGTGAGGCCCAACCAGGTCGAAACAGCTGTCCAGTGCTTCCTAGCTTTTCAGTTCAGGCTTCGTTTGCCATATACACGACGAATTCCCATTTGTAAGTTATAAATTGTCAAAAATCAGCTGTACATTGCCAGAATCAAAGTAATTTGGTCCCATTCTAATCTTGGTGGTGAAAGCCTTCCTGAAAGAAAATTTGATGATGCGTGAAGATTCATGCAATTTCCGGGGCCACTCATCTAACAGAATGTGGTGGGTAAATCATTTTGTTCTCGTCACTCTGATGCGTTTGGTTTTGATAACGTCTAGTTTTGTTTTGTCATTCTGAGGGTTAAGGAGGTATAGAGTTTTCAGTAGTGTGGCACAAATTGAAACTGCAAATTGCCCGAAAGACATACTATGCCAAAACAAACCATCAGGTTCTAGAAAAATGGTGCAACATCAAACCGGTGGAGAATAAAATTGTTTGCAACTCAAAAAAGTTGTACGCGGGTGAATTCATAACCACAAGTTCGTCTGATCCATAGCACGGGGGAAAGCAAATAGTGAATCACTATCTCACTAGCCTCACTCTTGAAACGAAATAATAGATTGTCATTATGTGACAGTTGCAGTACTCACTGATCACGAAATACGAATCACGTATTAGAAATCACAGGCGTCACGTAAAGCACTGAGTCACACGGGTACTAGCATGACAGTATTCCACTTAACCGAGAAAAAAGGAAATGACCACAGGAATAACAGTTCGTTTATTTAAAGAAATCATGGGGTATAAATAATATGTAAAAAACAAGTTCATTGGTCATCTACGCCTCTGCTAATCGCAAGCCAGTATTTCTGGCGTCGTACAGCGTCTGTCTGGGCCGCACGGCTTCTTATTGGTTGGTACGGTCGGCCCATGGTTTGTAGTCCAGAAGCTGTAGGCGCCTTGCTGATGTCACCTGGGAAGCTTGGTTCATCACACTTGTCCAAAAACTGTAAAGTATCGCTCCGTGATTTGCGTCATCTCGTAGGCTAGGCCCATCACACATTATTCAGATGTACGATCAGCTCTGCAAGTTGTTGAAGTTAATTCACCAACGCAAATTGTCTTAGAAACGTCGCTGACAAACTGAGGGAACTATTCAAACCTGCGAAGAATGATCCCGTGTTAAATTTTCATAACCGGGATCATGGTGCTCCAGCTGAGTATATTTTCCAAAATCGACTACGAGCTTCTTGTCCATAATTTTTCTTTCTGATTTTTACAGTAGAAAAGGAAGAAATTTTATTTAAGTTGTAATTTTGAAAACAGCGATGTCGGTACAGGAGTATCAATTTTTTGATACGCTCCGAACAAAGTTCGGATCTGATACTTTGAAGAAATTTTATATTCATTTCATCTCTGATATTTCTTTTCATCAGTTGTGTTTGTATTCATATTTATACGTGTTTGGTACACGCAATTACGTAAGGTGACAAATAGACCTAGAAGAACAAAAGATATCGGAAAAACCTTTTTAGCCACTGATTTTTTCAGGGCACTCCGCTAAGACTTTCGTATAATTAATCAAAACATTAGCTCAAACGGTACTAGAGAATCGCGCGAAAAAGCTGTATGCCAGATTGATTGAGTCTGTGTTGGAACCATGTTGGTGGAGATGAGTCACTTGCCGGTACATGGATGTGTGGTGTCAGGGAGAATCTTGATTGATTGTAAAACTTTTCACTGCTGGTGATCGGGTGGATATGTCATTGTTTGATGAGGATTTCAATGAAGATAGGAGGAAGACACAACTTATGACAGTTAAACTGCCTCGTGGTATCTGCGTTTATTTCTTAAGTAAACCAGGAAAGGTAAAGTAGAGGCAATGAAATAAGATAGGCAGTAAACATTGGTGTTTAAATGAAACCACAATGGTCGGTTCAACTCCAAACTGTCTGAGCATGCAAATTGGAAACTACAGTCAAGGTTTTAACCCACACACCACCATGATTCCCCGGGGAAACAGATAAAACTCATTTAAAGGATGTGTGTCTGTGTGTGTGGGTGTCGGCAGAGTGGATCATTAGGAAAATATCAAGGTAGCTGGAAACGGTCATGGGAAAAAAAAAATAATTCGCAACACTTGACTGTATCAAGATGGCAATCAAAATGAGATAAGC